CTCTGCTTCTGGTGTAGCTGGGTTTACTAGACCACAGTACCTGGTCATTTTAAAGCAATTTTTAAAAGCACTTCCCAGATTACTGTATCAAAAATAGCTCTTCTGTCATACACCATCCCCTTATTCTTCTTAATTTTTTCTTTGCATTTATCTCTACTAGAAATTCTATTATGTACTCAATTGTTTAATAGTTTGTTGTATAATATTTCTCAGTAGAAAATATGCTTCGTCTGGACAGTGATTTTACCTGTGGAGCTTCATCACTATATTTCAAGAGCTGATAGCACACAGATGCATTCAAATATTTACTGGATAAATGAATGTAATTAAAGGATAAGGATAGTGAAACAGAATGGCTTCAATCCTATAGGATTCTAAAAATGTAATTACATTACTTGTAAAAAATCTCAAAATCTAATTATAAAATATGTACATATAAGCAAACAATAATTGTGTTTACAAAAATGATATCTATGGTTCTTGGGAAAATGTGGAGAACCTGTGGTACACGAGTTATATGATGTGAGTTAACATGGACAAAATAAAAGTAGGCTGACATACTTTAGTAAAGGTGTTACTAAAATTATTAAAGTTCTGAATATTCAGAAATAGAGAGTTCTAGCCAACCCTGGATGAAATATATACAGAAAAGTATTTCTAAACCTATAATAATACATCTATGATATGGGATGGCATTTGTTATTATGGAATTTCTTTTTTATTGTTTTATTATTCATATGTGCATACAAGGCTTGGGTCATTTCTCCCCCCAGCCCCCACCCCCTCCCTTACCACCCACTCCACCCCCTCCCTCTCCCCCCTACCCCCTCAATACCCGGCAGAAACTATTTTGCCTTTATCTCTAATTTTCTTGAAGAGAGAGTATAAGCAATAAAGGAAAGAACAAGGGTTTTTGCTGGTTGAGATAAGGATAGCTATACAGGGTATTGACTCACATTGATTTCCTGTACATGTGTGTGTTACCTTCTAGGTTAATTCTTTTGATCTAACCTTTTCTCTAGTTCTTGGTCCCCTTTTCCTATTGGCCTCAGTTGCTTTTAAGGTATCTGCTTTAGTTTCTCTGCGTTAAGGGCAACAAAAGCTAGCTAGATTTTTAGGTGTCTTACCTATCCTCACCCCTCCCTTGTGTGCTCTCGCTTTTATTATTATGAAATTTCTGAAAAAGTAAAACTAGGCATTTGCTACAGGAATACTCATGTATATTTGTAAAAATAGCTAATAAATTCTTGGGGATTTCATGTGCAAGCACACATTATTCTAATGTAAGATGTTACAGTGTATAGTTCTAAACTTTAAAACAGTAAAAAATTCAAAGAAAATCTAGCTGCCCATGGTCAACAGGCCATGCCTGTAATCCCAGCTATGTGTGAGGCTTAGGTAGGAAGACTGGTTCAGGCCATCCCTGGGTAAAAAGCATGAGTGGATTTGCTCTACCACATGTTCCTACCATGATGTGATGCCATACCACAGGCCCAAAACAATGGGGCCAACAGATCGTGTAATGAGACTTCCGAAATTGTGAGCCAAAATAAATCTTTTCTCTTTATATATTAATTATCTCAGATAATCTGTTATAGTGACAGAAAACTTTCAAACACAATACCAAAGCAAAGAAATATTAAAAGTAAATTGATGCAAAAATAAAGACCAACAAATCATAAAATTCCCAGGATTCAAAGAAGGTTTACAGTTTTTCTAAAATAGATATAATAAAGAGATTTCACATCGATTTTGTATTAAAAAGATAACGGAAATGTTAAGATAAAACAGACACCAATGGCCATGCCAACATAACTCGAGTGTTTCCAGGACTCATGAAAATAAGGATTTCTATGTCTATTGATTAAATCACTTATATGTGATTTTTTAAAACAGCTTTATGAAGCATAATAGGAATACTACACTGCATATAATTAGTGCTCAAACTTGGTAAGTTGGCACATGTACATATCTGTTAAACTATGTCCACAATCAAGATAACATTTCAATGATCCCAGAGTTCCCTTGGGCATCTTTATAGTTCCCTCCCTCCAATCATTCTTGTTCCATTTCTGAATCATACATATCACTAATCTACTTTATATAAATATACTCATGCATTTTGTACTCCTTTATCTGTCTTCTTTCACCATAATTACTTTCAGATTCATCTATACTGTAGTATTTACCAATGAATCATTCCTTTTATTGCTTAGTAATAAATATAGAGATAGCTATAACACATCCACTTACTTCTTGATTGACTTTTGGGTTGTCTCTGCTTTTTAGCTATCAAAATAATTATAACATTAACATATGAATCACTGTATGGACAAATTCTTGCATTGCTCTTAGCTAAATCTTTCAAAGAATTGTTACCTCCTATCAGATTATGCATTTATTAACTTTTTAAAGAAATTTGTCAATCTGTTTTCCAAAGTAGTTGCATGATTCAGATTTTCTATTCCCTCTGTAATCAGCTTTGGTATTTTGTGTTTGTGGAATTTAGTTCACTTCGCCTAGTTATTTAATATGTTGTTACACAATTAACTGTATTTCCTCACATTTTTATTTTTTGTAAGATCAATAGTAATGTCTTTTTTTCTTCTTGATTATAGTAATTCTGTCTCTCTCTCCTCTCCTCTTCTCCTCCTCGTTCTCTTGGGCAGTCTAACTGTACGTTTCTCAATTCTGTTGAGAAGCAGAACTGTAACCAATCCAGTTGGTTTACAAAGAACCAACTGATATACTGTTGATTTTCTCCACGTTCTCGTCTCCAATCCAATAAAACGTTAATTTCCCTTTTCTATTTGCTTTTAGTTTATTTGTACCTTTTTTTCTAGATTTCTATGGTGAAAATGTGCTTATTATTTATTATCTTTTGTAATATGGGTGGTGTTTACAGCTGTGCATGTCATGTGAATGCTGTGTTCGCAGCATCCCATAAGTTTTGCTGTGTTTCTTTTTCTTTTCTTTATGTATTTTCTAATTTCCCTTGTTGTTTCTTCTTAGGCCCACTGTTCATTTAATTGGGTGTTAATTTCTCCATGTCTCTTAATTTCCCAATTTTAATTCTGTTGTCATTTCCTAACCTTGTTCCATTATGGCTGGAGAACATTCTTTGTATGATGTCAAGTTCATAAATTTTTAATTTTAATGTACTTAGTTGTTATCTCTGAGTTCATACTCTTTGAATTTGTTGAGTTTCTTAGTGTAAAGATTTTTAGTACCAAGTTTGGGAAGTTCTCCGTCATCAATTCTTTCTGTTCCTCTCACTATGCAATTGCTATTGATCTATCTTGAAATGCAATTCTTTTCTCACTGTTCAAATCTGGACATTCAGCCTACCGAGCACATTCTTACATTTCATGTATTGCACTTTTCAGTTTCAGAATTTCTACACGGCTCTATTTTATAATTTCTTTTGTGCTAATAGAGTATTGCCATCACATTTCCCTGTACTTCTGCCAACATGGCTTCTCTTAATTCTTTGAAATACATTATTTAAATAAGCTGATTTGGAATCTTCTATGAAGATTCATCTACCAATGTTGAGACAGCCTCAGGAACAGTTTTCTACTGACTGTTTTTTCCCTGCCTCCCCCAACATATGGACAATATTTTGTTTCTTTGAATGCCAAAAAAATGCAGTTTGTTTGAAACTGGGTGCTTTGGTACTGTGACAACTCTGGAAATCTGATTGTGTGCTTGCTCCAGGTTTCACTGTTATTGTCACTGCTGTTTAGTGACTTTCTGAACTAAATCTATAAATTCTGCATTTTGGGGGGCAATGTGAAGTCTCTCCTCAGTTTGTTTATTGATAGTAAATGACTGCACCAAAAATTCCTTAATTATCTGGGAAGAGTAGGTCTCTTAATCCTTGCCAAAGGTCACTGAGTATGTGTTGAACACACTTTTCACACTCAGCCAGGCATCCTTCTATGGAAATTCTATGGGATAATCTACGTAGACAATCATATCATCTGCAAATAAAGACAGTTTTACTTCTTCCTTGCCATTATGGATGTCTTTTACTTCTCTGGTATTCATATAATATTGACTCCAAGTCCCAATGCTGTTGAATAAAAGTGAGAGAACACATCCATTTTTATCATAGAGGGCATGCTTTCTGCCTTCAGAATGGTATCAGCTGATGTTGATTGTAGCTTTTTTTTGTATATACCTTTAATCAGATGGAGGAAGGGTCTTTCTATTCCTGATTGCTGAGAGTTTATAGCAGGAATTGATGTTAGACTTGTCAAATTTTTTTTTCTGCATGGGTTAACATGATCACATTTTTATCAATAGAGATACACTTTGCTTTAAATTTACTTTGTCTATTAATAGAGTCACTCTGCTTTCTTTTGGTTACAATTAGAATACTATATCTATTCCAAATGTTTTTGTTTATACTATTTTTGTATTTATATTTAAAGTACATTTCTTAAAAGCAGTATGGTTTGGTTCTTGCTTTTTAAGTGTTTGGACCTTCTCTGCTTTTCCTTTAGCATCCTTAGACCATTTAAATATTTTCTTATATGGTTAACTTAAGTCTATCATCTTGCTATCTAGTTTGTATTTGAAATATGTCCCCTTGGTTACTTTTGACCATTTTGGCCTCTTTTGGATTAACTGGGCATTTATGTATTATTTTTAATGGCATATTGCACTTAGCTGTTATTTTACAGTTGCCTCATGGTTTATATTATTCATTTGTAACTTCTCAGAGTCTTTCTTCAAATTATACCATACCATTTAATATATAAGAATGTTACAAATTATGTGGTTTTCTCAAATTATAAAAGCAAAATTTTTCATTCTTACACGTGTACATTTATGCATGTATACATTTGTGTATGTGTGTATAGTTATATTTGTGTGTAGTTATATATACATGCACACACATTCCTATACACATTTTATATATTAGAGTACTTTGGGGATTTAATTCTAGTATTATTATATTGGGTGCTAATGACCAAAACATTTCTATAATTTTATCAGTAATTTGAATTCCCATATTGAAAATCTGCATCTCTAAGATTTGTGCTAAGACTGAAGCTTTTACCACACTCCTCACATTTGTAAGGTTTCTCTCCTGTGTGGACTCTCTGATGAACACGAAGATTTGTACTCTGACTGAAAGCTTTACCACATTCTTCGCATTTATATGGTCTCTCTCCAGTGTGGATTCTCTGATGAGCATAAAGATTTGTGCTAAGAGTGAAGCCCTTACCACATTCCTCACATTTATAAGGCCTTTCCCCTGTGTGGACTCTCTGGTGGATATGAAGTTTGGAGCTCCTACTGAAATCTTTACCACATTGCTCACATTTATAGGGCTTCTCTCCTGTATGGATTCTCTGATGAATATAGAGTTTGGAGCTCCTCCTAAAACTTTTGCCACAGAAACTACACTTAAAAGGTCTCTCTCCACTGTGCACTCTTTGATGAGTAGATAGATCTGAGCTTCTACGAAAGCTTTTACCACACTGTTGACATGTGTATGGCCTCTCTCCTGTATGGACTCTAAGATGAATGAGAAGTTTTGTGCTTGCAATGAAGCCCTTACCACACACATCACACTTGTATGGCCTTTCTCCTGTGTGAACTTTTTGATGTGTACCTAGATCTGAACTTCTAGTGAAGTCCTTACCACACTTACCACACTTATAGGGTTTTTCTCCTGTATGGATTCTCTGATGAACACGAAGATTTGTGTAATCACTAAATTTCTTACCACACTCATCACATTCATAGGGTTTCTTCCCAGTGTGGATCATCATATGTCGATTTAGTTTTGATCTACAACTGAAGTCTTTTCCACAACCGTTACACTTAAAAGACTTCTCTTTCACACTTTTTCTGTGATCATTATGTAGGTTTAAGTTCAAACTTAAGTCATCAGCTCCCTGAACATGTTTACACTGCATATCAACCATGTAGATTTTTCTATTTCTTTCAAAATGTGGACTTTTCTTAAGGAAATATTCACAGTTATTCCATTTCACTTTTGCTTGGTTCTTCTGATGACTACAAGTGACAAACTGTGATTTCCAAAAGTAAATTGTTGGACACTTACCACACACACAGGTGTACTCTTCCTTGTGGCTACTTTGGTCTATTAGTTCATCCTGAAGCAATGAAGTTTGTTCTGATAATTTAGACCCAAGATGACAATAGAACTTCATAGAATCACTTCCCATGGGATGGATTTTCCTCAACAGCTCTTTGTCCTTGGTGATGTCTTCTCGGGTCAGGAAATGATCTCTGCTTCCTTCAGAATTTTGGCAGTCACTCACAAAAGTGTCTGGGGAATGTACCTGCTTAGTAATTTCCCAAGGCAAAAGCTCTTGATTTTCTAATTTTGTGACAACAATCCCTTGACAATTCACCACAGAGTCCCCACTTCTGGATACCTCAGTTGATATTCCTTTAAGAATAAAAAGAATTAAGTGAAGAGAATAAGCAAGGCTTTGTTTGAAGATGTTAAGATTTCCAAATAAAGAAATGTTCTGCCAGAAAGCATTTCTGGTGAAGGAAATAATTGGCCCCTTTCCCCAATTTTCATTTCTTTTTGGTTCTATATAGTTCAAGAAAGTGACAAATCCTAGAATCTTTTTCCAAGAACTGATAATTAAATTCATAAACAGCACAATTAAAAATTGACTAAAAAATCAGTAATATACAAATTAAGTGCTGAAAATTAAAACAAAGATAATAATCACAGGAATATTTTTTCAAGAGAGAGAATGTGTATCTCTGCCTACAAACCTTCAATATCTTTTTGCTGAACAGCTCTTGGTTTATTATTTATTTCATCAGTTTGTTATATTTAAGTAACACACCTGCCATTTGCCAAACACCACACTAATTAGATACCCAGGACACAATGATGAAAAGAGAACAGAGTCTTCAATTGAAATATCTTATGGAAGGGGAAAGAAAAAATGCCATGGCATTGCTCTCATAATTACTGAAATTTTAAGGAAGATAGGGGTAAGAAATTGGAACTAGACATGTAAACTCAAAGAGATCTAAAAGATGAAAGAATTAGTAGCATACGGGAGAAAAACAACCCATCCCACTTACATGTGAGGAAAGAATAAACTTAGATGCTATACATTTGAAATATATGGAGATGTAAGAATCTCAGACACTTCCTATGTGGGGACTGTATGGTCTATGTGAAGTAGTAGGTAGGAAAACCTGAGAGTGAGAAGGAGGTCTCAGAATAAGAAATATTTACCCCTATTAAGCATCTTGTATTCAGTCCATATCCATCTTCCTAAAACAGCAATGACATCAATTCTTTACAAATTCCTGTGATTCAAATCTGCAGGATATGCATGCTAACATAGTATTTACAAATGCAGGTCCAACTGAATAATCAGTAACAAGTACTTAAACGCACATTACTGAAATAATAGTTTAGATATACGAATAATTGATTTGGACTACAGATGTCAAATCATTCATGGAGAAAATGGAATCTGATTCAACTCTAAGACAACAGAATACCTAACAAACAGGCTCAAACACAAGTGTATCCACAGAGGATACCAGGATGATAGGATAAATGGAAAGGGATTGGGTTGTGCAATGCCAGATTATAGAGAGCCCTGAAATCATAAGAGGTGCTTCGGTGCCATGCAAAGCTTTTGCAGCTTTTTAAATCAGATAAAATAAAACTCTCACAATGTTTACATATAATGGGCCAAAACAAAGAATAAAGTCAGGAAGATAAGTGATTATAGTTAACTCATGGTCAAAAGATGAAGTCAAGAGGTCCATGAAGAAGGAACTGACCCATAGCTCTGTCCTCTTTTCCCTTTAGATCATCCAGCATCCAGTACTATAGCTATAATCACCATGTCTTTGACAAGGACTTCCAAATTTGTCTCTAGGCCTGCTCACTTCCTGAACTGTTACTCCCAACTGTCTGTCTGAAATATTCTACTTCATACATATGAAATTCGAAATACACATCACAATGTCTGAAACGCTGTTATTTTTACCCCATACCCAAATATTCTTCATTTCTGTAAATTTCACTTCTATGCCTCTTAAACAATTACTCAAACCAAAACCATATAGTATTTCCTGTCCTCAGCTGACCTCCCATGTCTAAATAATCAATGAGATTCCTGCCAAGTTTACCAAATCCTATCCTATTTCATCTGATTGCTCTCCATTTTGAGTGCTGCTCTGGCCACTTTTACCCAGACCACTGCTAAAGATCTCCTGTGGTCTGTTTGTCTCCTTATAATCCAGATCTCCATTCTATATAAATCCTTCAAATGGGTTCCCATAGCTCTATACTACCTGACTCAGAGTAAACTCTCTCTGATCTCATTTCTTCTATGTCTAACACTCATTATCTCCCAGCCATAATTCCTGGGACGCACAAGTTTGTTCCTCCTTTAGAATCTGAAATATGCTTATTCCTGATTCTTGAAAGGCTGGATTCTTTCTGCCATTCATGCTCCAATTTCAATGATACCATCTATAAAAAGCCCTCCTCTTCTACCTAATCACCCAACATTCTCACAATGCCCCATTTTGTTTTCACCAAAGCAGTCATCACTACCTAATATATTTACAGTTGTCTCCTCCATCTTCTAGCACTCCCTTCTCCTGCCTAAAATGCACGTTCTGAGAGAAGTGCTTTTTAGGTCATATTAACTGTTTTATCTCTGGGTCAAAAAAAAAAAAGGTAGGCACACACTATAAAGTTTTTCAATGAATAAATGGAAATATAGCATTTGTTAAAGAAGAGATCTAAAATTGGGGAGGAAGAGATGAATTAGACAATAACTGAGATAAGCTGTGGAAGATACAACAAGAAAAATATGAAGAATATTAGGGGAACTATTCATTATCAGCTCAATCAAATTTCCTATAGTTCACATAGAACATGTGATTTCTCCTGTCCAAATAGGCACACCTACATCCTAAACTCACTTGGTATCTGCTTCTTTCTCTTACTTGATAAGGTCTTCTCCATGGCAATGAAGAATAGCTGCTTCCTTATCTGTGACACATTCTATATAGTCCTGACCAATAGCAAACCTCTGTTTGACAAGTACATGTATGTATATGCATGTATCTGTATTGTTCAAATTATAAAATTATAGCTTGGAATTTAAATCAACCACACTGAGGGAATCTGTTGAATCCTTTGGAATTAATAAATCAAATACTCAAACAAAAGCATATGATGCAGTCAGACCAATACAACACCACTTCAGCTGAGTTAGCAGTTAGCTAGAGCCTGGGAAAAATTCATGGAAAGACAGAAGCTTTACTTTCAACAGCAAAAGATAGTGGTTAGCACCAGTAGAGCTCCAGAAAAGAATGCTCAGTTTTGAGATCACTACCACCTACAAGTAGTGCTTTGCTATTGTATGATATATTCCTTTGTCTACTATAATAAAACTCTTTTCTTCTAGAAATGAGGATATTACTTTTCTCAATTTAGAAACCCTTAAAGAGTTAAATGATCTATAAAATTTGGGTGGAAGAGAGGAATAATTCAGGATATAGGGTTAGAATTTTAGTCCTGTGGTAATTGTGGGCTGAGGGTAGAAAAGTTGGGACAATGTGGTTTCACACATAAATCCTAGAATATGCAAGGCATCCTATAGTCTACATTGAATGGCTTTAAATTGTTTATTAATGGGATTGTTGAGAGACAGATTACTTACAGCAGACTTTTGTTTATATCTGTATGGTTTGAATACTTTTTATCAACTATGTTTTATTACTTTAATCATAATGAACTACCCTCCCCTCCAAAAAAAGAAAACAAAGGTAAATGGTCAAAATACACAGAAATCAAATATTTATATTAGTGCTTTCCAAAAGAAATATGAGAGCCATAAATGCAAACCACATATGTAATTTTAAGTCTTCCAATAGCCACATTAAAAAAAATACAAAGAAAAAGGTGAAATTAATTTAATAATATATTTTATTCAAACCAGTATATGCAAAAATATTATTTCAACATGCAGTCAGCGGAACAGACATTTAATATTTTACATTCAAACAAAGTCTTCACAATCTAGTGTGTATTTTATACTCACATGCCTCAGTTAGAACTGGCCTCAAGGGTCACATGCAGTTAGTAGCAAACAGTGCAGATCTGCATCTTTAAAACACATTTTCACATTAATAAGAAGAAAACAGGCAAATGAGAATACATAACTCATAAAAGATAAAAAGTAAATTACATGGAAAATGCAAACACGCAGTAGTAATAAAAACAAAGTGTAAAACACTGAGCTATAATTTATTGCAGGTACTTCCATATGTCACTGGTAGGAATGTAGACTGGAATTTTAACAAAACGTTTTTGTAAAGGTATATTTACAACCTTTGCTGCAAAAAATTCATTTTCTAGATTTTGTACCAAGATCTGACTGAACTAATGTGCAAAAAGTGTATGAGGATGTTTAAATCGGTATCATTTACAATGGGAATAACTTGGCAATAACTTAAATATTCAATCGTCGTTATTTAATTTAATCAGTCAGTAAATCTATAAAATTGAATGCTGATCAGTTATTTTATATGACTACTGATTGTTTTATATGTCAAGTAATAAAGACAAGATAGCATATGTGTTATTTCCTTCCAACAGAGGATAAATTGATTTAGTTTTCCTTATTGATACTTTCTAAAAATTTGCAGAATAAATTTATATTGTGTCCAAAGTCAAGTTTAAAAAAATGGGAAAATTAAAATGTTAACATACAGTAGAATAATTGAGGATGAAGACAATTGGGAAAAGGGTAGAGTATTTTTAGAAGAAATTTAATGGTTGCTTCTGAATATGCAATTTCAGTACAGGGGTAGTCTTCAGAAACTAAAATAAGGACTGAGATGAAAAAAAGAAATTTAATCATGAAGAAATTATGGAAAAATATGCAAGGTATCAAGTCAAGTATCTTACAAAGTACTTCTGTTTGATTTTGAAATTAAAATCTGCCAATTGTGGAATTTTAGAAGAAATGAAAGAGTAATGAACAAAAGTCACTTGTAACTTGATAGTCACTGATGTCTACTTTTAACATTTGGGAGCATTCCCTGCGGGTCTTTTTCTTGGTAGTATTCAAGAGATGTTTGCTGAATGAATGAGGGATAAAGAACCAAACTCCATAAGGATGTCAGTACAAATATATTGAAATAAAAAGAAGTGAAAGAAATAGTGAGTCTAAAGAAATGCCTGAATAGAAAGTAAAGAGAAAAACTGTAGTTAATAGCATATTGTAAAAATTACATTTGAAAGTGAGCGGAGGCTTGGGGGTATAGCTCAGCAGTAGAGTGCTTACCTAGGATATGCAAGGCCCTGAGTTTGAGTTCCAGCATCATAAAAAAAGTAACATAGTTAAAAAGTGAGGAAAGTCAATGTGCCATTTCATTTAAATATTTCCCTGTAGTGTATTTGAAATTCTAGGCATACATAAAATGTAGTATCTTACTCTCTTTACTTAGTGCACTATCCCACATCCTGGAGAATTTTTGTGAATATAATGTTTCTAATGATACAGTTTTTCAATGTTTGGATATGCCAAGGTTTACTTAAACAAGGTTACAATAATGGGAATTAGCTACTTATAATGTCCAGGAAACAGACTTATTCATGACTCATTCTCTAGACCCCTATGATGTCTAATAGGTAGGGGTTCTGTCAGAAAAAAGATCAGTATGAAAGGTATCATTAAAGCTCTTAGTGTATGGCTACACTCCTTTCTAGAAAGTTTTAACCAATTATTTTTCTTCTTGTTGGGGATTAAAACACTGATGATAGTAAGCACATACTCTACCACCAATATACCCCCGGTCCTCGTTTTAACTAATTCTTACTTTCAGTATAATCGTATATACATTTGTATTTATAGGGAAAAAGTTAGGAAAATTTGAATGTGTGAAGAAAGGAGACTATGAGTGAGAAGGAGTAATTACAACTAAAGTCACAGAAAAGAATTAGGTAAGAGAAGAGATAGGTGAGAGAGATGGGTAAGAATTTTAAAAACACCAAGAAATATGAACATAGGGCGGAACAAATCTTCCCCTGAGAAGGCAGGAGAAACAAACAGGAAAAGAAGATAAAGAACACGTGAAGATAGAGCTGACAATGAGAAGAAGTTGTAGCCAACACTGACAGACACCACATGCACAGGGTATAATGGCTTTATGTCCTGTGTCTTACCTGGACAAGTACTATGCAGGGGTGCTTTTATCATCCATGCCTCCTCTCTTAACTCCCGCTGAGAGACAGCACTGGTTCTGAAGGGGTGACATCCTATACTCATAGGGAAAGAAAAACATAAAACATCTGAAAATATAGTCCTATTGAGCCCTCTGAAAGACGGTTATGGGGAGGTTTCATGGAAGGCTATGACAGAGAGGTTCCTCATATCAATTCTTAAAAATAAAGATAATTTCCTGGTAGAAAATACATTAGAAACATCCTGTGTCTTTGTGGCTACTGTAGTTTGGATTTTGAATGTCCCTCAAAGGCTCATGTGTTAAATGCTTGGTTACCAGCTTGTGGCACTATTGGGAGGGGTAGAAACTTCAGGAGATGGGGCACTGTATAAGGAAGTCGGATCGGTGAGGACGTGCCCTTGAAGGGATAGTGGGACCCTAGTCCTTTCCTATCTCTCTTTTCTTCCTGGTCACCATGTGGTGGGCATCTCCCCTGCCACATCCTCCCTACCATGATGTGCTGCCTGGTCACAGGCCCAAAGGCAATGAGGCCAAGTAAGCAGGAACTGAAACCATGATCCAAAATAAACCTTCCCCTAAGTTGATTATTAAGTATTCAGTGTCAGAAAGCTAATGCAGTAGCCAACTGTATTTGAAGGCTTCTTCACAGCTGAGTAGAATACTGTGAAGATCCACCCTGTTAATAACTGAGAAAGCACCATCCCTCTGACAGAAGGTTTTCAATTACAACATTAAGCTGTCCTTACCTATGTAGATGAGATTCCTATAGTTCTCCAGCATCACTTCTCTGTACAAATTCCTCTGTGAAAAGCTCAGTTGTCTCCACTCTTCCTGGGTAAAGTCCACAACAATATCCTTGAATGTCACTGGTTCCTAAAATACAAGCATATTTATCCTTTATTAAATATCTGAACAAGTATCCATGACATAAAGAGTGCAGTTGAGTCACAGGAAAGTCAAAGATGTACAAGAAGTATATTCGATGATACTCAGACCTTGGAGTTATCCAAAATAGAAGAGGGCAACTGATTATTCCAACTTTATAAATTCACTAATTTCATCAATGTCTTTCCTCCTGTCAAAGGAAAAAGTGCCTTTCCCTTTATCCTCTTACCTATGTTCTAGATGTTTTCTATAGTTATTCTCTAGACATCCACTCTCACAAATTAGATCTATTTTTAGCTAACCTTCAAATTATCCTTCCTTGAAAATTCTTCCTCAGCTTATAATCAAAAATCTTTCTCTTCCTCCTTTGTTAAATAGAAAAAGTAAGAACCCTCTGGAAACAATTTAGGAATGTGACATTGACAATGCCAATGGGCCGTCATTTAACTGGCACTGCATGATGGAGGGAGGCAGTTAAGCAGAGAGCAGGAAGTTTGAGGAGAAAACTCAATACACTGTCAAAAGCAGAAACCTTCATAGACTATTCTTCAGCAGACACAGGAGGCCTCTCAGGGACCTGCCAATATTTGAGGCCATATGTGGAACTGGGAGACTGAGACCCCAGGAGTCTTGAATCCAAATTAAGGGTGCAGAAAACAGGCCTCAGATCTTCAACAGAGCTTAAGTCTGTGTTACACGTTTTCCCCATTCTCCAACCAGGGTCTCCACTATTTAAAAAGTGAAAAATGCAATACCAAATGCTTAACTTTTTCTAGTAAAAGCATTAGAAAAGTGTAGTCTAGCAATATAAAAATCTTTTATTACACAATAGCCACCTTATTCTAAGCAAATGCAGAGGAAAATGGGGCTCTACTTCACTACCTTCAGCCAGGGCAAAGCAGGACAGTCAAGATCTCCAACCTTACCTGGGTTCTCCCCAGAATTGTAACATTCCTCCCTAATGCACCACCCAGCAACAGTTGAGACAAGAATTTTAAAACAGCATTTAAGATTCCCCACAGAGCAATTACATAAATGCTTGAAACAAGAGAAGAGATGGAAAGTCTCAGCAAACAAAAAGCATAGAAGATATAAAGAAAAGTCAAATGAAAATTTTGGAAGTGAAAAATAAAAATTTCATTAAATAGGTTTCATAACAGAATGGAAAAGAAAAAGGAAAGAGTCAGTGAAACTAAAATCGAAATTACCATACAGAGAAAGTAGACTGGAAAAAAGAATAAACAGAGTTTCAGGAACATTGGGAATTATGTCCTATATATAATCCAAACCTGTGCAAATTTAAACAACCGAAATCATACAGAAAAGAGGACAATCACAAAAAGTTGTTAAAATGATAGTGATAAATATAATCAAGAAGATACATTACAGAAGTCAAACTCTGGAATACTACAGAAGTGACTCATGAAATAAGAACTGAACTGCCTCCCCAAACTGTCAACTCTGACCATGAAATTCAAACAGGAATGCAACCCTTACCTAGAAAAAGAGAAACAGAAATGAAGAGTATTTGAAGTATTGATATTCTAATCTCTCCTCCAAAAAAAGCAGAAAATAGAAGAATGCTACAACAGAGTACCCAAAACTAAGTGAAACACACTCAAAGAAGTATCTGGTCATACAACCTTGAGTCAGAAATTCAGCAATTCATAACAGAATTAGTAAAATACATAAAGATAACAACCCAGAACTGACTAAACTGCAAAATGTCCAAGAAATAAAAAAAAGTAGGTGGAAAAAAGAAAGGAAAAAAACTAATAGGATAAAAATGAGATAAAGTTAATATTTTAAAAAATGGGTCAAAGAAACTAGTAAAAATGCAAAATGTATTTTAAGAATTCAAGACTGGCTCAATTTTAGGAAGTCCACTCATATGACATATAATTGATCTTCACTATTCACCAATTCTGTATTTCCAAACCTGCCTACTTGCTAAAATTTATAACCCAAAATTTAATATAATGTTTTCACCATTATTCCCAGACATGCAAAGAGCTACAAAATATTTAAGCTGCCCTAGACCCTGCAGTCTCATTTCAGCTTTCATACTTCTAGTCTATTCAGTGCCATGTCTTTCATATCTTTGTGCTTTTATTTGTGATTCTCTTATTTAACATAGTCCAAGTGTACTGCTGAAGTGCTATCTTGTGTTCTTAAGTGCAAGAAGTCACTTCATGTGCATTACAGAGAAAATACTGATGTTAGATAAGCGTCATTCACTGGAGAAATAGAGCTGTTGGCCATAAATTCAATGTTAAATTAATCACACATAAACCAAAGTTATGTATGATTGATGAAAATGTTTTGATCAGAGGCTAAGAAAATCCTAACCCTGTATTTCTTAAGTGCAATATTCATGGTGACTTTAAAGACCATAACTATGATGAATGATGAGAATCAAGTGTACTAGATTAGTATTTCTAATAGAAAATCCTACCATAAATTCAGATGCTGAAAAACCATCAGTCCTAAAGCCAAAAAAAAAAAAAAAAAGTATCCTTTAAAAAAGAACAAACACTGAAGGTGGTTCAACTAAGGCAAGGATATCTACTATAACTACCACTATTTTATTTTTCCTACAAGTATTAGCCAAATAAATCAGAGAAGAGAAATCAATCAGAGCCATAAGCACTTGAAAAGATAATACAATAACATCTCTATTTGCAAGTGACAGTATATCTGGAAACCCTAAAAATAAAATGATAAAACTAGCTCAAATAATAAGTTTAGTAAGATAACATGATATAAACGTTACCAAAAAGATCTGCAGTATTCATACACAGAATTAACCCCCAGTTAGGAGAAATGATGATAGAAAAAAAATCTCAGTATAGTAGGAAAGACATTAATTACAAGTAAGCTAAATTTGAAATGTACAAAAACTGTATGACAAAACCCTAACACATTCTAAAAGACAAAAAAGCAGAAAGGTATGCATCCAACATGAAAATATTCAGGTACAAAGTTACTCACTGCAGTGCTGTTTTGAATTTCAGAATGTTGGAGACAACTTGAATGTTCTTATGCAGAATAACTAAATAAGGTATGGTTCACAGATGTTATGAGTATACTGTGTCTCGCAAGATGATGATGGCGAAGTCTCCCCAGTAAACGTGACCTTATTTGGTAAAAAGGTCTTTATGGCTGGTCAAGTTAAGGTGAAATGATTGGGGTAGCACCTAACCCAATTTGACTGGTGTCCTTATAAAAATGTGAAAATTCAAGGGCTAAGTGGTAGAGTGCTTGCCTAGCTTGCTCAAGGCCATTGGGTGTGATCTCCAGCACTGCAAAGGAAAAAAAAAAAAAAAAAAAAACGAAGGGGAAAATAAAGAGGTGAAAACTGGATAGAGAGACATACACACACAGAGGAAAAATGCCAAGGGAAGAAAACAGCAGAGAGTAGGGCAATGTGTCTACAAACAGCGAATGTCAAAGACTGCCAGCACATACCAGACACTGGAAGAGAGTCATGGAACAGATTCTCCTTCACAGACCTCAGAAGAACTAACCCTGCTGCTACTCTGATCTCAGAGTCCTAGCTCCAGACCTGTGTGAGAGTAAGTTTCTGTAAAGCCATCCAGTGTGTAGTACTTAAATATGGCAGCTCTAGCAAACTAATGCAATACTCAGTGTGTGCTCTTATGCTATGAAAAATGAATAAACAAGAAAGATCTCATTAAAAAGATGCAGCAATTTGCAGGAAAAATTGTTAGGTGAAATAAGCAAAATGCGTAGAATATACAGTATATCTGTATATTGGTACCTTTTGTTTAAAACAAAATAGAAATGAAATGTACATGTATTAGCTCATTTTTGTAAGGAAGAATACAAAAAGGATAATACTGAATCCAATGAGATTGATTACCTATAGGGATGGACTGGACGAGAAGAAACTGAAGGATGAAGGATTAATGATAATTCTCTGAAAAATCCTCACTGTGTAATTTTTCATTGTGGAATCATGAAACATTATATAAAATTTTTAGAAGATTGAGGATAAAGAAAAATTTCTAAATGATACTGTATTAGTTTTTCAGGGCTACAATAACAAAATATACAGACTGGGTATCTTGAACAACAAAAATTTATTTTCTCACAGAAGAGAAAATAAAAGATCAAGATGTTAACAGATTTGGTTTCTCCTGAGGCCCCTTTCTTTTAGTTTATAGATGGTCATCTCTCTATGACATCACAAAGCTTTCCCTCTGTTCATGCTTATGTTTCAATTTCCTTTTACAAAGCTATCAGTTAGACTGGATTAGGGCATACTCTACTGGCCTCATTTAACTTACCTCTTCAAAAGCTCTGGCTCCAAACGTTCATATTCTGAGGTACTGGCAGTTAGCACTTCAATATACAAATTTTGAAGGTCACAATCTATATCCAAATGTAAGTAACCTTTTTTTTGGTGATACTGGAGTTTGAACTCAGGGCTTCATGCTTGCTAGATAGGTGTTTTACCACTTGAGCCATGCCTCCAGCCCTCTTGCTTTGGTTATTTTGGAGGCTAGAGCAAAAGGGTCTCACTTCTTGCCCAGGTCAGCCTGGTTTTGATCCTTCTATTTTAGGCTTCCTGCTACAGCTGGAATAACAGGCACATGCCACCACACCCAGCTTTTTTTCTGTTAAGACTGGATCTCAAAAACTTTCTTTTGACTGTGCTAGCCTGGAACCATAAGCTTCCCTATCTCCTGTGTACCTTCGAATTATGCACACATTACTGCATCCAGTTACTGATTGTAATGGGTCTTGCTAACTTTTGCCCACGGTAGCCTCAAACTGCAATCCTCCTGATCTCAATCTCCCAAGTAGCCAGGATTATAAGTATGAACCACTGGCACCCAGCTCACAAGTAACTTTTGAACTGGCATTCAACTATATACCCTCAGTCTTAGAACTGTAAACAATTATTGAACGGTAGTTGGTAGGTTTTCATAAGCCAGGTGTGTAAGCTAGGAAAACTAACTATTGTGTGTCCTGGTATTAAGCAACTGAGTAAATATATTTAGCATGATAGGAGCCTGGTTTCTCATTTGGGGGAAGGGAGTCACAAATACAGCAAGGAAGAAGACATGAATGAACTACTTGGTGTTGGATTAGCATCAGGATAGATTAGTTGTTTTTAATACAGATACAGATATGTGTATATACATATGTATATGTGTTTTCATGTATTTACATAGATTTGTCCACTGGGAGGGCCTATAGGCAGATATACTAGTAACAATGTGTACACCTAACATACAGATTTTGATTCAACAATGCCACTTCCCACTAAATGGAACCAAGGCTTCTTGGTCTAGGATATGGAAAGAACAAAATGAGCCTAAAATATCTTGTGCTAAAAAGTACAGGTGCACACACACAAATACACACAGAAACATACAGTATATAGTAAAAGAATACAAATACTGCTTTGACTGGAGTCCCAAACACACAGTATATGTTAAAAGAATACAGAACATGGTTTGAATGGAGTCCCTTGGGACAAATCTGGATAATTTCAGTATCAAAATCAGTAATAAGTATAACAGATTATAAACCTTCCCACCAAATAAAAGATCCTTGAATTCCTATTGATATAAAATACTGATATGAATAAAAGAAGTAGAAAAGAATGTCTTCACGAAAGAATAGTTACAGATGTAGACAGACTAATAAAGGTCAGGCGTGTTGGTGCTTGCCTGTAATTCCAGAATCTGGGAAGCTGAGGCAGGAGGATTATACATTCTAGGCCAGCGTGGGCTACAAAGTGAAGCTTTGTCTAAAAAGAAAAAAGCAGAAAGAAAAGAATAATAGTTACATCATTAGCTTTTGTAGCCTTCATAGTAATAAGTGGTTTATGCAGCAATCATCAATGAATGCTACATGAAATGGTTAAAATTTCAACATACAAAAAAAATCTTTGAAATCTTTTCCTCTCCATCAAAATGGAAATAAATTATCATCTACTTTTTTTGTTGCTCCTCTAAGACATAAATACAGGAATTGGTACAGTGAGTGTCTAAAAGTATCAGACAAACATTAGGTGCTTGGTAAATGCTAATCTATTTTCTCTTTCTTAACAAGGAGAAAAGGTCAGCCAACTTTCAGTAATCAATATAGTATTTCAGGAGAAAAGAAAAAATTACCTTACCAGGACCTGGGTCATGGCTTCTTTTTCTAGAGGAAGTGTAGAGAAAGCAGAGCTGGCAGAGAAGAAAGAAGCCATTAGTGACTAGACTAGCTCAGAGCAGCCAGTCTGGGTTTCTAGAATGATGACAACAGTTTAATCCACTGAGGCCATTACCCCCTCAGCACCTGAGCCCTTGTTTTCTCACTCACCCACCTTATCTTGGTCCTTTCCCACATAGCTTATTCAGTAACATTCACCTCTTGACTCAGGCTTTTGGTTTAAGCTGACTACGGTCTTTCTTTTTGTAGATATGGTGCCTCTTTCCTAACTACCTTCTTCCTATACCAAGCACTCCAGTAAGGTGTGTAGACCCAGGAGTACCAGAGTTTTAAAACATTCTCTACCTTCTCCCTTCAATTTGTTCTAAGAGGTCTTAGCTCAGAGGTGATTCCATTCGTAATATATTTTTGCTGCTTAGGGTGCTTCCTTCTCTTCCACTTTCTAGAGTCTGAATTTTGCCTTTGGAGCAGGGATGGTGCATGAGAGTAGATGCTAATTTAGGGAGATACTCTTTTGAGACCAAAATTCACTCTCTATTCATGTGCCTAAAGATGAGTACTTACTCTAGTGGATCTCAGCCTAGGATAGTAACAGTTGGCTTTGCTCAGCTAAGGCTTGGAGCAAATGGTGCAGGCAGCAGACTCTGCCCACCATCAGACCTATTTGAGGCCCTGCAATAGAGCTGGGAGTCTGCATACAATACCTGAGGTGCACAAAACGATTCACAGAAGGTATAAGTGGCTGTTAAAGACACACCCTGGCCTTCAGCCATTCAGGACTCAGATGACAAGACAATAAAATTCACCTCCTGAAGAGGAGGAAAGTTCTTATCACAGCCGGGAGCCAGTGGCTCACACCTGTAGTCCTAGCTATTCAGGAGGCAGAGATCAGGAGAATGGAGGTTCAAAACTAGCCCGGGTAAACAGTTCGCGAGACCCTATCTCGAAAAACCCTTCACAACACTAGGGCTAGTGGAGTGGCTTAAAGTGAAGACCCAAGTTCAAGCCCCAGTACCGCAAAAAAAAAAAAAAAAATTCTTATAAGGATGGCTTGAACTTATGCATTAAGTCTGTCTCCTCTGTTAGACTTTTAAACCTGTTGAACTCCACAAACCTGCCAATTCCTCAGTACCCAGGATAGGTCCCAGCTAGAAACAGCATGGAGAACAGGTGACCTGACTCCACTTGGCTAAGGCAGTATGCGCATGCGCCCTTGCCACCGGCCCTGGAGAGGAGCGCTCCTCTCCAAAGACGCGCACAGATCGGCCCCGCTCTGCCCGTCTTACGGCCCCACAAGCCCGGCCCTTCCTTCCACCCCGCGTCCACGGCAAACTGTGCCACCCGGCGGGTCCAAACACCGTAGGATCCAAGTCACCTTTGGCTAAAAGTCCAACGACCTCCCAGGGCTCTCACAGGGTGACCGGAAGCGGATGGCCTTCGCGGGCGCCGCAGGGACTTCAGTTCCCACAATGCCCCAGGCGCACTTCCTCTTCCGCCGGGACAGTGAAGAGGAGGGAGCAGGAACGCTGAGACTAAGTAAGGCAGAATCTCTCGGGTTCATCCTTGAAATCCTTGTATTTTCTTCTTAGTCATTCTTGGAAAAACAACAGCAACAACAAAAAGTGGCGTTTCTTGTTCTTTAAATGTGCACATAGCGTTTAGTGAGATTAATGTGATTTTATGTTTATCTACTTTTTTTTCATATTATCTCATTTTCTATTGGAACTTTTGCTTCCTGTGTTTACTATAGATTTTATGTATTCAGTTTTTTCATTTATTTTAATTTATCTAAGTTATCTAATTTGGGATAAAAAGTTATCTGTTTTGTTGTTAATTTTAATTACAGTCATCCCTTCTGTATCAGGGAGGACGTATTACCTCTCCCCAGTTTTTTTTCTGCTTTGATATAGGAGGTTCCTAGACTCCCCGTGGATCTCTGAAACCTTCGATAAACCGAATTCTGTGTAGACTATATTTTTCCTGCATACTTACCTGTGAAAGTTTAATTCATAGATTAGGCATGGTAAGAGATCAACAATAATAATTAGTGATAAACTAAAACAATATGTTACAATAAAAGTAGCATTAACATGATATCTATCTCGAAATGCCTTTTGGTACTATATTCACCCTTTTGCTTGTAATGGTATAAGGTGAAAAAGGAAGCACATTTTGCCTTCTCTTTGACTTACCCAAATTGCCAGCCTCATTACTTTTGGGTACATTAAAGTAAAAATCAGTTATTTAAACACAAACCCTGACCATTATAACCAGACAACTGCTAAGTCAGGAATGGCAAGTTGAATATGCATTCGGGCTAGTCTGGACAAGAGGTGATTTACATCCCAGTTGGCATCGAGCAGGATCATGTGCGATTTTATTATACTACTCAGAACGGGGCACAGTTTAAAACTTCCAAATTATTTCTGGACCTTTTCCATTTAATAGTTTTGGACTCTAGCTGATGGATAACTAAAACCACACAGAGAAAGCAAAGCCAAGGAAAAGGAGGGACTACCATACCTCTTTGATTTAACTATTATCAGGGTGTGTTTTAAATGTTTTCCTCATTCATTCTGTGATGTTTATATATTTTATTTAATGTACATTGCTAATGTACAGTTAAAGCTTCTTAAACAAAATAAAATTAGTAATCAATTGGAACATTCAGAGTTGCCTTTTTGTCATCTCTTGCCAGTTTTACTTAGTGGGATCCTTCCTTTTGGTTACTGATCTGAGGATGCTAAATCATTGCATTATCTAGACATTTTGGATTATGGACAGCACTTTGGGATGCTTTCCCAAAGGAATAGGAGCTAAATAGTAATAGTTTGAAAGCTCTTGCCAAAATGGGGAAAAATACCTTCTCTTAACCCCTATGATTGCTTCTATCAATTCCTCTCAACAGAAGATACTAAATAAAAAATTGTAATCTTCATAAAAAATAATCAGAAGTTTGTAAGATGCTGCAATAGAAATTCAGTATCTGGCATAGTTGGTTTTCTTGCCTTTGTGCATGTATTCCTATTGATACAGTATAAAAAATTTTTAAATAACAAAAATTGATAAGATAGCAAAGATAGGAGATCATGATCTCAGAGAAAACTATGAACCACAGAAATGAATAGATTACTTAGAGGTACTTTTACCATGAAGAATGAATGGAAGTCAAAATCCAGTGACAGCCAGGTATGAGAAGTCTAAAAGTTTCTTATGTCAGAATTCCAGAAGACTAGAACTGTAGGACCTTTTCCCCCCTTCCCATAGGAATGGAATGATGGCTTGACAGTAGGGATTTGAAGGAGAGCTTAGTCAATGACCTAGTTAACTCCATTTATTTCTTACTCCATCTTATTTCATTTCCTTCCTTCTCAGTTCTCCTGAGTCTCCCCCACAGTTTCTTTGGATTCCTAGAACATTAGTCCTAATTGATGACTATCTTAAAACAAAGGACTGAAATTACTCTTTAAGTAACCAAAAACTTATAGGCACTAACAAAGCTCTGAATGCCCAATAATGATCAACTAGACCATGGCCAGACAAGTCAACCTGGAATACTAGTATGGAATCCCATATGCACCCCTATAATCCTTGCCTTTGGTATTCTCTCCTATAAAACAGTAAGATTGCTATAAGCACTTTGAAGACAGATTTTGGGTCATTAGATCTTTGTTCTTCATGGTCTTTCACATTGTTAATAAAGCTCCTTTCTTGCTGTCACTGCTGCTTATATCTTTGATTGGCTTTCTGGGACATTTGGCTTAACCTGGACCATTGATAGTTCCAGAGCCAGAACTTTTGCCCTAACTCTAGTCGCAAGCCCAGTTTAGGTATAGAAGCTTAGGCTGCCAGCTGTTTTCTTTTAGTATACAGATAACATGCAATGGATATTCTGTTTTCTGGGTTTATTATTTGTTGTTGAGAAACCAGCTATCAATGTAACTGTCATGCTTTCTGGCATAGAATGTTTTTCACTCTTTCTCTTTGGGTTTCTGCCATAACAAGAAAGTGCATAAGTGTTGATATTTTTTTTAATCCTGATTGATATTTTCTGGGCTTCTTAATCTATAGATTTGGGTATTTTATTAGTTCTGGAATGCTCTCTTCATTATTTTTGCACATATTATCTCTTGAATCTTTCTATCCTTAATATAATTCTGATTAAAGATCAACTGAAACTTTGCACTCCATCATCCATGTCATTTAAAATTATTTTTTTCTATTTTTATCCTTTTTATCTCTTACATAGTATCTCCATGTCATTTAAAATTATTTTTTCTATTTTATTCTTTTTATCTCTTACTTAGTATTATAGATTATTTTCTCTGACCTATATTCTAATCACTAGTTTTGTGCTGTGCTATATCCAGACTCCCATTGAGGCAGGATGCATAGATAAGGTAACAGAAATTAAAATAATAAATATTAAATGATCAAAGTTTACAGTCCAGTAGAAGTCAGACAAGAAAATATTTTTCTGTGATTTAAATTCAATATAGAAGAAAATGTCTAGTACTGTGGGACAGAGTACCATATGCAGTTTGAGTTTGGGAAAGAGGGAATGATTTTCAGAGGACACATAGGCTGGAGTCTACTGAATGAACAGCATATGCAAAAGCAGAAATGTCTAAAAGCATTGCACATTTGAAGTGCAAGTAGTTTGGAATGCTACATTGTTCGAGTTTAAAATTTTTAAGGGGTGAAACTGACCAGGTAGGATGAGCTAGCTTTCATTGTTATCCTGAAGCAAGATTTTAAGCAAGTAAATGTTATGGTCTCAAACTTAAATGAATCTAACTAAATTGATACTAGATTACAATTAGCTAAGATTAATGGCAGAAAGGAAGACCATCTAATAGGATATTACGATTGTCTAGGTTAAATAATATCAGGTCTAAATTGACCAAGGAGAAGAGACAATATACTTAAGAGATACTTAGATAAAATCTGTAAGACTTTGTAATGGTAAGTGAAAACAATACAAAGAGTATATCTGAGACATAGTCAGGTGTTTCTTTTTTTTGGAATTTTTATTGTGAAACAATGACAAAGTAGAGAAAATAATATAATCACTTCCACCCTTATATTTATCATCCCTGTTCAGTACTTTTCAACCTTTTGCCACATTTGTCTCTCTTGCTTCATTTATACCTTTTTTCTTTCATTTATATTCTTTTTCTCTTTGTTTAGGATTTTAAAGCAATCCAAGATATCATGTCTTATTCCAGTATGTACTTCAAGATCAGTTGTTTTACCAAATTCTCCCACATTATGGGGGGCGGGGGAGGGCCAGACTCAGCAATTAAAACAGCACTGGGAAGGACAAAAAATGAAATCAGAGCAGTAAGCTCTCCTCTCATCACCTTCAACTAAAAAGATGTTTTTTCTTTACCTCCCTATTTTATTGCGTTTTGCTAAAAATAAGTCCTTTGTAAACTTTCACCTGTGAGATTCCCTCTCGGTTTTTGTTGTTTTGGGTTTTGTGTGTGTGTGTGTGTGTGTGTGTGTGTGTGTGTGTGTGTGTGGCTTATACTGGTTTTGGAACTCAGAGCCTTACAATTTCTAGTCAGAAACTCCACCACTTGAGCCACTCAGCCAGCCCTTTTTGTGGTGGGTATTTTTGATACAGGGTCTGGGAACCTTTTTGCCCAGGCTGGCTTCAAACTATAATCCTCCTGTTCTCTGCCTCCTGAGTAGCTAGGATTATAGGCATGAGCCGCCGATGCAGCAAGACTCTTTTATGTGTGTGTGAGACTCTCTTAAAATGCTTTTTCATTTTTTTGTAGATCTCAATTTCCTGGAAATTTTTGTGAAAATTTCCTTCCTCTGGTAGCACAACCAAAATCATCCATCAAGCTTCTAGTTTATGTGATTATATTTGTGTGTGCAGAAACTATATTTATTTCCCTTTCAAAAAGTCTTACTTTATGTAGGTTCCACTTATTTTCATATTTATCAAGCTTTAAAAAATTCTTTAAACATGTGGGAATAAAAATTCCAGCACTGAATTATGGGGGAGCCTGCTACTGCACATTCTTATTCACAGTACCTCAGATCCTGGTCTGTTTAGGTATCTCTGCATTTTGCTCTTTGACTTTGAAAAATTATGTATATTTTAAAGCCTAGGATTGAGTTGTTTTCCCCCATAGAGGATCTATACCATTTTTGGCAACACCTTAACTGCATCATCAGTCCACAATTACATTAAACAGACACCACTGCTAGAACTTTTCTAGACTACCCACATAATCCAAATTTGAGAAAAGCCAGCATGAGACCCTGTGCATACTCACAATATCTAAGTCAGGGGTTTATGTATTTTCATCTTGCATTCTGGTCAGTGAAAGGCACCTCTTCCACAATCACCTGTGTGGAGAATGAGGAAATTCTGGTTTTCCCTATCTTTGGTAGCAAACAAACAAATGGAAAAACAAG